TAACAAGATTTATTTCTGAAAACTTTACAGGGAAACCAGAGAGTATGATAGCCTATCTAAAGAGTGCAGACGGCTTTTTTGTTCTGAATAAAAGTACTACAATTGGAAGGCATGAGGATTCAGATCTTGTCTTAAAGGTAAGAAAACTCTTTCTCCTTGCTCTCCTCCTCTCCTTGAACCTAGACATCCCCTCATCATTCTCACAATGTTCCTGTTGCTCTGTGAACTTAAATGTCTTTAGAAAAATCTCCAACAACCACTTCTCTCCTTGATATCACCAATCACAGTGGAGGTAGTGGAAAGGGCTTAATGGGAAAGGGTCACATGGCCTCCATCCTTGCTTGTTGTTGTTTGCTCTTCTCTCCTTGGACACCCCAGCAGCCCGATGGGGTGATGAGCTGAGGCGTTAGCCTTTTCCTGCCATGGCTAATCCACCAAGGCAATCAGGAGTGACCAGCTAGAGAAGGCACTTTCAGTTCTTTTCCAAACTCATTAGCTGCACCAAGCAGAACCACCAGGGTAAGCCCCTGGGCTCGGCTACAGCTTCTTTTCATTTCATTTCACCCTCTGAACTAGCTGTGGGTTGGTCCAGAGCCTCAGTAAAAGAAGGAAGAAGAAAGGAATAATAAAAACAGTCTGAGCCTTTTTAAACATTGAAAAACATTCTGTTGTGCATGGGAAAGAGAAGTGCGATAGAATTTAAGTGGAAACTTAGGTCTAAGACTTTACTCAGTAGAGATTATTCTTAAGTTTTTATTTTGAAATAATTATTGAGTTACAGGAAGTCCCCACAATAATATGGAGAGTTCTTGTGTATCTTTCACCCCATTTCCCCTAATGATTAAAGAGCTATAACAATAATAAAACCAGGAAATTGACTTGGATCTAGTGTGTGTATCTACCTCCATGCCATTTTATCATATTTACAGAGTGGTGTAACCACCCTCACAATCAAGATACAGAATTTAATCTCATTACCACAATGACTTTTCTTGTATTGTCCCTTTACAAATTACAGTACCCCTGCTTCCCCACCTACCCGTAACTCCAGGGAACATGCTCTCTGATCTTGCTAGTCCAAGAATGCCCCATCAACCCTAGACATGCTCACCGGGTTGCAAC